GGTGAAATCTTAGAAAAGTACTTAATAGTCCTTATTTTTTGCCAAAGGACCCTAGGTTTTATAAACTGTTCTCGACTTAGAGTAAGAATTGTTGTATATATAATGTATATATACAATGAATATTGTATAATTAAATCTGCTGTGCAATTGTGTATATAAATACTATTAGTGTACTTTAATAGTCGGTGAAATCGCGTAAAAAAGTCTTATTTTGGCTTATTTCAACATGTGTCTTACTACTATGAACCCTGTAGAGTTCAATGCAAACCAAATTTTAGAGTGCTATTTTCATCCACGCGAGCTTGAAAAGTAGCCCCCGAAAAATAAATTATATGTTTTTCCCTGGTGCGTCCGTTCGTGCGTCCGTCCGTCAACAGTTGAGCACAAATCTTAACCGCTCAACGTACGGTCATGATATTCGGGACGTCGGGGGGGGGGGGACGTGCAAAGGACTCAGGATGACTAATTTGGGGGTTAAAGGTCAAAGGTCAAGATGTGTAAACAGAGGGGGAATATTTCCCCCTTAACTTAAGGTATAGGAGGAAATACGGAATTGCGGCACAAATCTGAACGGCTCCACCTATGCTCTTAATATTCGGTGTATAGTGTGATGGGCAGGAAACCCATCACCAGTGCGAAATTGGAGGTCAAAGGGCAGTGGAGGAAAGGTCAGATATCAGACATTTTCTGAGGACATGGCCTAATGGACAGAGTGAAAAACTTTTTTGTTTCAGCGCTGACCTACCATTTTTAAGTGCTTTATTGAAACGACCATGAAATGTGCTTTCCACTGACGTGCGAACTGCGAAGAGTAAGTGTCTGATAACCTTTTGACCCTCAAGAGGAGGGTTAAACATGGATTCCTGAACTGCCTCAATGACGTCACAGTGTTCTCATATTCATGGCACATCCATAATCTAGAAACCCAATAAGCCTGGATTGCCGAACGCGTACAGTACGAGCTTAAATTTGCTAAAATTGAGCTTAATTGATTTTGTATTTTTTACCTGTTTTTTGTATTTTTCTATCTTTATCCATTTATAACTATTTCTTTACAATTAACGCAAATATTTACATGATTTATTCACAACAAATTCACAACAACAAATAATTTTTACAACAATTACATTTTTTTTTTTTTAATAGGGTTTTAAGGTTAGGGTTAGGGTCACAATGCACCATAAAACAGGAGTCTCAGGCACGCGATTTGTATCAACCAATGGGATTTGGGAGGTATGCAGAATGCAGGTTGCTGAAATGATGTGAACGCAACTGCGTATCTGCATATCTGCGCCTAACAAAGGTGTCACTACGCACGACTTAAATGTTACGTTTATAACCGTAGCAACAGACCTCAGATGAGGCCAGACGCTCTGCGGCTCTTGTGTTATTTAATGAGTACGTATAATATGTTTAATATATTACTAACTATATTGTTACTTCCCAACTATGTATCATGTGATATATGGGTCTGTAGTGTAAGTATTGTTGACTTTTCAGGAAGTAGAAACACTCGAAGGACATAAAGATGTTCGTGCAGAAACCGATCAGCTCTTGAAGGATTTGGGATTAACGACGGGTAGGGTTCCTGGTTACTGATTATAGATTTTTTATTTAAGTATAAATGAATAACTAGCTAGCATAGGAACAAGGGTATAAAATAAGCTCAAGAATATATACATTTTTGTTTTTATTTAGGCCAAAATTTGATAGAGAGAGAGAGAGAGAGAGAGGAGAGAGAGAGAGAGAGAGAGAGAGAGAGAGAGAGAGAGAGAGAGAGAGAGAGAGAGAGAGAGAGAGAGAGAGAGAGAGAGACGA